GCACAATACGATGTTTCATAAGTTACGTGTACGAGCGTTTTGGTGTGTTCGTGACACTAATTACTGCATTTTGCAGAGGATACGTAAGCACGATTATTAATAAGGGTTTATGAAACCTTAATTTCGTATAACCACAAAAACCATTGCAGTGCACAGTGATAAATTTTCATCAGCTTCGTTAATTTTTCGTTAGTATAAAGTACTGAACTGGACATAAATCATTTTAGGGTCATTAAATGTGAATTAGTAGATAAGGATAAGAGCACTTACTAGAATAATGACGGAAATAAATAATATCCTTCGTAATTTGAATTATTTATTGTGAGAAGGGGAACGTAATATTTAAATAATTTAAATTAATGCATAACGTAGAATGTTGCTTACATAAAAATTGTTAAAAAGTACAGTTTAAATAAATTGATAAGATCAAAACAATGATGTATACTAAAACAGATTATTTGCTGTTAAATTCTGTCGTTTCAATTTTATTTCAGTGTTTAATTTAGCATTTATTACAGGTAACTTTTATTATTTTTCAATCTATATTCTCGTGAGAAGGATAAAAAATTTGTAAAGACATTTATTCTAATGTTACATAAATGTTTCATTAAGGCACGTAGATTCAAGATGATAATTTAACCTTCCGATTTCGTTCTGGGATGTTTAACGTGTATAGTACGTAACGAGGAAAACAATAATATGTTCATTAAAAGTTGAGTCAATCTTACACCCCCCCCATAGAAACTGTGATTCTAGTATCACTTGTAAGGTCGCAGACTGCGAGCATTGAGTTTTGATATAAAGTCAGTACGTGCAGAATACAGGACTCAGTAATATCCACACAGACGCTATAAATCATAACCCCGTTAAATACAGTGACAAAACTTTGAAACACTCTATCACGGTTAGATGAGATACTAACTTCATATTGGAAAGATGCACACTGGAAATAGGTCTAATCGATACACGAAATTAAACAAATACATCGCAAAATGTCCTCGTCTTTACATTTAAATTTATTTCGTTTCGTATAAATAAAAATTTAATTTTTGTAGAGTCGAACATATTCCATTCCTCACAATCAATTTAACATGTACATGTCTGTCCGTCCGTTCATATCTGAGCCTATAACGGACTCAAGAAAAAAAATTGACAAATATTTTGTTTGAAATTCAGCAAGAATTATCGCTCTGATGATGGATGCACCAAGGACATCCGAAACGTCGGATAAATTTCTACCAGACTACACGGCGCAACAACCAAGAAGACAACCATCTTCAACATGGTTTTACTATCTTCTGTAATAAATTGTTTATTAGGTTTTGTTTAACGATGACGAAATACATCATGCGTGGTAATCTGTTGTGCCTTTGGAGGGGGGAGGGGAATCCTACACAAAACGTTTCTTTCTCCAAACTGGACGTACACCCGCGAATCGAAGAATATTATTTATTTAGTGTTCTGTCTGACGACAGGTCCATATGAACAGGATCCTTCCATCCTTTTCTCGGACTGGGACCTGTTCATATACGTTCTTGGCAGATGATCCAGAAGCGGTTTGCCATTGCCTTCTTCTGTGCGTGAATGGAGTAATTGTTGGGATGCCAATGAGGAAAACTCCGTGTTGCCTAGGCCACGGCCTTGCCCAACACAAGTTATAAATTCGGGCACCACCGGGAATCGAACCCGAGACCCCAGGATTACAAGGCCAGCGTTCTAACCGCTAGACCACCGTGGCAATTTCGCCACAGTACATGATTTATAATCATTTTCGTCATTTGAAAATATATAATCTACGTAATACATACAGTGTCGTTAAATGAACAAAGATATACAGACGGCCTTGGAGTGACTGAATTTAGATGCAGGACTTAAAAACGCTCTTATAACCAGCCATAGTGGCATGAATCGAAGAATACCCGACCATTTATATAGACAGCAATATTCATATCCAATACTAATTTCTGAATATAAATTAAAGTCGTAAAGCGATCCACGAATTTACCAAAATGTGGGGTACCCGTGGTCTTGTATAAACTGCGACAAACTTCCGAGGAGAATATTTGAAAATTATGAGGAGGAAGGAAGCGGATACTGGAGATAATTCCATAATTAGGAACTTAATAATTTGTACTCTTCATCAAATATTAGAGTGACTAATGCTAGGAAATTGTGTGGCCCAGGAATGTTTTACGCATATAAGACGTAAAAATGCATACAAAATTTTACAAAAAAAAATCCCTTATAGGAAATTACCACGTTCAAGACTTAATATTAGATGACAATTTTTTTTTAAATATTCAACCAACAAACTGAGATATCGATTGGATTTATCTAGCACACGATAAAGGCCTATGGTGTTCCCTTGTGAACACTGTAGTAAACATTTACGATGAATTTCTTTACCAGCCGAGTTACTAATAAATTCTTAACAACTCTGGTCAAAGCAGTTAATTAGTTAAGTATCCTTAGCTAGCCTCTTATATAATGTCAATGATGCCTAACAGCCTTAATAAATTTATATTTATAATTGTAAGTTGAGGTGTTTTATTTGCGGTATGGAACGTTCAAGACTTAATATTAGATGACAATTTTTTTTTAAATATTCAACCAACAAACTGAGATATTGATTGGATTTATCTAGCACACGATAAAGGCCTATGGTGTTCCCTTGTGAACACTGTAGTAAACATTTACGATGAATTTCTTTACCAGCCGAGTTACTAATAAATTCTTAACAACTCTGGTCAAAGCAGTTAATTAGTTAAGTATCCTTAGCTAGCCTCTTATATAATGTCAATGATGCCTGCAGAATTACAGCGGTCGAAGTGTGAATCTAACGAGCTACTTCCATCCAGCGTAGCTCCGAAGGTGACTTCTCTTGGCGTGCTGTTTGGTTACACTGAGTCATGCCGTGGGTTTTTAAAGAGCTCTCGACACCCATTGGATAGCACAGTGGACGAATTCAAAGGACGTTTAAGTGTAAGTGGAAAACAGACAGTAGCCTCTTACACTGCGTGTTTAATTATGAATCAAACACCGAGAAAAATGTTTTCTTCTACTCACTACTTTTAGAAATAAGAGTCTTAATGCATAAATTTGTCTTTTTTAAAGTTCTAAACCGTTCTAAACACCTGTTCGTTGACCTTAGTTGATTTCAACACGTAACAAAATCTTATCTCGATCGTCCTGATGGAGAGAGGTATTGATAATTAATACTTACATATCATAAACTATAAAGATATAGAAGAATCTACAGAAATGCGTGTATTTGTTTACTTTAGCGTACATTTTATAGACCGAGACGAAAGTCAAAATGGCTACGTCATATGATTATCACTAGCTTTGGACTTCTTATAGGTAAGAACTTTATAAATTTATACAAGTAATTTCATACAATATTGTATACCCTTTTAACAATGTCTTATTCTATTTCAATATGCGACATAAAAACTCATAAAACAGCAGAATTAAAACAAAATCATATTAAAATAATCTACATGATAATCCTAAAAGGCCTACCTAATATTTTAAATTGCTGTTAAAATCAGAATTGAGGTACACGTTTTGCCATATCTTGTCAAAATTTGCCCTAGTATAACGCTTTAGAACAAATGATTGACGTCAGAAGTTATGCGATACAATATTAAAGAAGGAAATGCCTAAATTACACATGCCAGGGAAGTTGTCCTCATAATTATTTTGCACTTAAGACATTTATTACCCTACCTACCCTTCCTGTTTACCATAAGACCGTCTCTATATTAATGATCTTTACCCGGATGAAGGGGATAAATGCAAGGTCTTAATCTCCAGTCATTTCGCTGAGGAATACAGAAAAGACGGCGAGTTGTACAGCACTGGAAAATATTTTCCGAAGCATAATGTATTCTATTATGACGTACACATTCTTACTGCTGTTTATAAAATCATATAGATGTACGTAAATTTATATTTGTATTTATATTTGCCTATGTCAAACTTCGTTCCAGAAAATTTTAAGAGTTTACATGCCTCTTATGTATTCTGTTTTGAATATATTCTACTACAGACTTAAAATACATATAGATTTAATAACAAAAAAATATTTTACTCCATACTTTTCTAATAATAATAATAATACAGCATTTTAATACGTAGTAATAAGACAAATAGAAGAAAAGAATTTGTTGAGTTTTGCCGTAAAATTATCTAAATTTTCATCACACTAAATATCAATCTAGTGATTAAATCAAGGATACTACGATGGGCGCGGCTTATAGCACGCATGAGTACGATGATAAATGTTTAAAACATACAGAAACAAAATCTGAAGTTGACAGATCAGTTCGAACACGAATATATAGATGGCAGGACGGTATCTGAATGATTCTTAGAATCAAACATGACAGCGTATTTTGGATCCATACGACCCAGGTTGAGGGCTCGTGAAAAGACTGTAATAAAATTTTGATTTCATAAAAGGCATGACATTTTTTGGCTAACAGGGTCATTATTAATAACTTCTCAAGAATTGATTTGTTCCATGAAGTTATATCGTCAATTCAATAATATATTTAGACCATTTTTGTGTCAGAAGTACGTCTGAAGAGGTTACATATTTTTAATTTGTTGATATTTGGCATAGAAGTTTACGTCTACTAATATTATAAATGATCTGAACTACAGGCACAATAATATAACGATCAGAGGTCACCTAATCTGTGGGTTATGTTAGAATCACTTAACCTCACTTACTGGACAGTGATTTGCATTACTATACGTGAAGACGAGTACAGATCGATATCTCGAAACGTTCTATCTTTAATAACGTCAGACTATGAGCATGGTTCTAGAAAGAAGTTATTCACGTAGGCTAAAGTAAACGTTCTAAGTTTCCTAAGTCACTGTACGAAGTACATAAAATGAATTAAAGAAACTATCTTGTAACATATTTCATTCTAAGATTATGATAAAATGAAATGCGATATTGCTATTTTATGTCCTTAAAGAGCGCTTACCTTGCTCTGGTCTAGCCCGACTACCATTGCCTGGACAGCATATAAGGTGGGGTGACCCCAACGTGATATCTGATGCCATGTTCTATTTAAATCGAATCCCATGAGAGTCGATCTGAAACAAAATATTACGTATGTAGCATATCGAACAATACAAAATGATTTACCCGCCTATAAATAACACGTTAAAGCACTCTGCACTTCGCTTTATATTATCGCAAAATAAACTATACCGAAATAAAGCCATTAGTTATATATCATTCATACGTATTTATTAAACTCTTATTTAATATCTATAAATAATGATACCTTTAGATTAATCTTCTAAAAACATCTTTAATAAACTACATAAAATGTAAAGAAAATACCATTGTAACGTCTATATTAATACGTGAAATTTGGTACACAACAATAAACTGACACTAAATTATCCTTATTTGTTTTAAGTCCATATTATAAACACGGAACAAGGCGATATATCTAAATTTCTGTAATTTATTACAACAACAAATCACGGTAATAAGTGCTTTAAACACAAAATAGATCGCATTATGCATTAAAAAGTATTTGGTGAAGCAATGAAAACTGAGTGAAGTACATGGAAACTGTGTGATTTTCTTATATAAAACTTAAAATTTTCGAAATTCCTTATTTTTCTGACTGTCGGTCTGTCAAAGACGTTTCCAAGCTTTTTATTACATTAGTGGCAAATATAAAGAAATATATAAAGCGAATATCAATATATGCGATGTAAAACTGCTTAATTAGCAATTCTCATACAAAATTAAATTTAATACTGCTTATTAATTTGACGTGTACAATCCCTACCAATCGTCACTAATCGATTCCCAAACAAAAAATACCGGTTTCGAAAAAGGAAAATTTAGATAATCCAGTTTCAAGCAATTTTCTTGTTAAATATAAAATTCTCAGTCCTTCTGTCTTAATGACCTCTTTAAAATATTTTATAGTAGTTTTTGTAGTTCTAGTAAATGAGCAGCAAGATAATGACTTGTCTGAAGTGTCTTGAGTGGAGAATTCGACGCGTACTTAAAGGAAATCACTTCGTTTCTTCGTCTTTTCCCAAAAGTTTTTAGAACTTGGTATCTCTTATCCGTGCTCATTTCAAAATCCGCTCCTTTAATTTTCAAACTTTAACTGTTATTTCAAATTCCTTGAACCAAAATTTCGTGCATAGCTTCCACCTCAGTATCCCTATGCTTAATAACTACTTTACGATAAATTGTCTTTATGTTCTTTCTCTATGTTTGGTCAAAATATCGAAAAGTTTTATTTTTTAAGATTATGTACATATTAACTAACTGGTTTTTGAGAATGATATAAAAATCACCTTGCAAGAATTAATAAGTACTTCTTTCGATATTCTGAGGAAAATTGTCTTCCGTCGGTATAAAAATGTCTCAGGACATTTTCGTTTTGAAACAATGCTGAAAAAATCGTAATCCGTACCGGAAAACGTGGATTCTGCATATACGTTCTTATCAAATTCTGAATTATAATTACTCCCATTTGAAATTAAAACATATCTTACATACAATACGCACATAAACATAAAACAGATTGAAATCGATCCAAAAACATAAACGTAACTCGTCAACATATGATTCATTAATCGATTCTTACTACTTATTATTTTATTAGTAAACCAAACGACAGAATTATAATATGAAATAATGCATTTAATTTATATCGAATTCCGATTACATTAAATAAATCTGTTTTATACTGATGCCATATTTTATTTTATATCACACAAAGATACTAAAATTCTGTATGTATCGAAAATCTATTATTTTACTTCGTTTTATGGCCCGTTCTGCCTAACAGATATTGTGGCACGTGACGTAAAACATTGCCATGTACGCCAACATCGACTTAACATTTATTCCTGTGACATTAACCCAAGGCGAGTTCTAAAGTGAAACATATTCGTAGTAAACTCTAACAAAATATTAAAACAATTACAAGATGCCAGTGAAAAACAAATAAAATATAATTTCGACAAATATATTCCTTAAAATTCGGCATACTTTTACTACAATATAAACAGTTAAAATGTATAAAATATATAATTCAATATTCATATCTTACGTTAAGAAATTCATATATCACAACACCTCCAGTTTGTTATATAGTATAAATAATATTCACCTACATGTGATCCAGTACACTTTAAAATACATAATACTTCATAAAAAAGAACCATTTTAATATTAACCATCCAACAACACATTACATTTCCAAACTCCTTTCGTACATCAATAAATACGTACAATCAACAATTACCTTAAAAGAAAACAGAGACCTTCTCGTGCTCCGAACAACCGGTGATAATACTTTATCAAGAAAGGTCCTCAAATTAGAGACCTTCTCGTGCTCCGAACAAACAGTGATAATACTTTATCAAGAAAGGTCCTTAAGGTACATTCAACTATCTAGCAGGATGTCTAAAAGTAAATTAAGCCCGTATCTGCTTACAGCACGCATCAACATGGCTAGAATCACTTGCTGTGTTATTCTGCATGCAAAATGTAATTAAACTTCGTATTCGTAATAAATAGTTCTTGAAAATTCTACCAAGTCTAACGTTTACACTTACTGCACACTTAAATGTTAACTGAAACTTTCCGTCTTTTACACGGGATTAGATAGGAGAAATTAGACGAAAAGTGCCTCAAATTCTAGATTCTATACATTTTCTTAACAATTATTTGGCCGTATTGTAGCCTGAAACTACTTCGCTTAGCATAATTCTAAAGAACTCCTTCTAACACGCTCAAAGTTTTACATTTATCCGTGTACTTATGTAAAATGATTTCCTCATTATTAAAAACTAAAATAATAAATAGTAATACGGTTACGAGATAATTTTAAAGTGTACGTAAAATTACGATAAAAATTTAAAGTTAATAACAAATTTATAAATTATATTATTCTAAGACCAAAAAAGCTAAATATAAACACATAAAGAAGGAACCACTATTTACTCAGTGAAATATTTCATCTCTGAGCTACTAAATAAGTCTTCCAATCAGACATCCACACGAAAATATGGTAATTAGTTTAATAATAAACAACATACATCTTTAGGTTATTAAAACGTATAAATGCGTGTATTTCGCCTTACATTTATAACATTTATGTTTACAGACGGATAATTAATCAATCTGTGAAATCTCAGTTTATATTTAGACGTTTTCCAAATGCTTTCTACATTGGCAGTCTTTTGCGTGTTTCTATATTTGTTTTCATAATATTCTTGATGAGAATTAAGTGACTGAAATAACATTAACAATAATCCGTCTCAGGCACAGCTCGGGAATTACTGCAAACATGTAACTGGGAACATTGTGTTAGGAGCGTATTTATATAAACCCTTCAGTGCAGTGAAGTTATACAACAAAACACTTTAATAAGTAAAAACAAAGGAATTACACTTAAAAGTGGGAACAGACAAGGATGATACATGAAATCGTGGCAAGGAACTATGCTTAACCCTCTTACACAACTTAAATAAAATAACGTAAACATTATTATAACAAACTGTGTTAACATTTAATCTCTGTGAATAAGCTCTTATTCATTTACATTTATAAACTACGTTCTTTGTATATTCTGAGACGAAATTAATTCCGGTATAATCTGTTATACGTAAGATAGTAAAGTTGCGTCATATTGTGATGTAATAAGTATATATTAAATCTTGTCCGTCTAATCACAATAAATTCTTATTAAATAATAAAATATTACAATAATTAACATTTAAAATATTTAAAATATTAAATGAT